CTGTGTGCATTGAATTTATTTAATACACAAGTTTCACAATTTGAGTTGAATTACTGAAATAAATTAACTTTTCCACGACATTCTAATTTATTGAGATGCACCTGTATATAGACATATATATATGTACTGTATATATACAAACACACACACACACGTTTGTTTCTGTGGACTTTCCATAGATTTCTATTACTTTTATACTGACCAAAGATATTTTCTATCCCCTAACCCAACCCTAACCCTAATGTTACATTTTCAGATAAACATCATTTACTATTTTTAATCTTTTTTCCCTTTTTACAATGTAAAAAAATCATGTTTTACTATTCTTGTGGGGACATTTGGTCCCCACAATGTAGCATAAACAAGTAGACACACACACACACACACACACTCACACATATATAAACATACATTTTAGGGCAGCTGTCAAGCGATTTTTTTTTTTATCTAATTACATGATGTGCTGTTAATTAATCACATCAAAAGATAATTTAAACTCATTATTGTGTTAGATGAGAAGAGCATTGAATAGACATTACAAAAAGTAGCATTAGAAATACATATTTTGATTTAACATTGCATAAATATTGATTTGATAACTCTTTACTTAAAGCCCTAATATAAAATGCATTATAAATGTAGTTTTAATGTATTAATTATAGGGGTGCTCCGATCAGGATTTTTGAGGCCGATCACCGATCGCCGATCACAGAAAGCAGTACCTGCCGATACCGATCACCGATACCGATCTTTTTAAAGCCTTCTTTATATCATTTATAACTATTTATAGTGATACTCCATTCAAAAATATATATTTATCTCACCTAAATGTTTGATCATGCAGCCCATTTTTGTTTTTATACTCGTGCAATTGTTGAACAATAGCTTACACACAGCACAAAAAGTTGCTCAAGCAAGTGGCAAAACATTTAAAATACTTTTCTTACGTTATCACAAACATTCTAAATTAAAACTTACCAGACAACCAGTCAGCTCTACTGCCTTTCCTTTTGCTTTTAAATCTTTATTACCTCCACGAGTGCCATCTATTATTGCCTTGTTTATCTAAAAGTGCTTTTTTCCTTTAAAACTAGCCAACAAGCCATATGTGTTACTGTGAAACACAGTAGACTTTAATTATATGCATTTATGGTGTAATTACTACATTTTCGTTTTCATATTTACCACAAACAATGCGCTGTTAATTTAATTCAGCACTAGCAGCGTAGCAAAAACAGACTCGGTGCGGAAACCATCTCTGCACTGCAGACTCACCGCTCCTGGAACCCACTGCCGCACCACAACTGTGTGCAGTGTGAACGCTTTAATCCTTTAATTTAACATGAGCGCAGAAAAAAATACGCACCGCACTGCAAACGGAGTAATGTGAACCTGGCATTATGTGTGTGCTCTGCGAGTGTGCATGAGCGCACGGTCTCCAGGAGAGCGCGCGAGCGCTGAATGGTTAAAGACTGGCAAGAATTAAAAATAAATGCAATTTATAAACGTT